ACGATGTCGGGAATTCAATCAATCCCGTATAAAATTCCCTTTGTCTATCGGTATGTTACTTGCCCGAGATTCGATCGTCGGTATCCCAATACCTCGTTCAATCTCGTTACCGACAAGCCACTTTACTCGTTCCGTAATGCATGATCCCGTGGCTAACTCCTTAGTCACATTGAGCTCATTATGATGATGCATTATTGAGTGGGCCCAGAGATACCTCTCCGTCATACGGAGTGACAAATCCCAGTCTCGATTCGTGCCAACCCAACAAACACTTTCGGAGATACCTGTAGTGCACCTTTATAGCCACCCAGTTACGTTGTGAAATTTGGTACACCCAAAGCATTCCTACGGTATCCGAGAGTTGCACAATCTAATGGTCTAAGGAAATGGTACCTGACATTAGAAAAGCTTTAGCAAACGAACTACACGATCTTGTGCTACGCTTAAGATTGGGTCTTGTCCATCACACCATTCTCCTAATGATGTGATCCCGTTATCAATGACATCCAATGTCCATGGTCAGGAAACCATGACCATCCATTGATCAACGAGCTAGTCAACTAGAGGCTTACTAGGGACACCTTGATCTCCATCGAAGCATCGTTGTCATCTCGCCAACTATTGCTTCTACGACTATCGCTACAGCTTAGTGATAAAGTAAAGCAATTATATGGCGATTGCATTTCATACAATAAAGCGACAACCATATGGCTCCTGCCAGTTGCCGATAACTCTGTTACAAAACATGATCATCTCATACAATAAAATTTAGCATCATGTCTTAACCATATCACATCACAAAATGCCCTGCAAAAACAGTTAGACGTCCTCTACTTTGTTGTTGCAAGTTTTACGTGGCTACTACGGGCTGAGCAAGAACCGTTCTTACCTATGCATCAAAAACCACAACGCGGTATAGTGATTGCTTTTTGATCTTCAGAAAGAACCCTATTCATTGAATCCGATTCAACTAAAGTTGGAGAAACTGACACCCACTAGCCACATGTGTGCGAAGCACATCGGTAGAACCAGTCTCGCGTAAGCGTACGCGTAATGTCGGTCTGAGCCGCTTCATCCAACAATACCGCTGAATCAAGACTCAACTAATGACGGCAAGCAATATGTATATACCCATGCGCCACAACTCCTTTGTGTTCTACTCATGCATATAACATCTATGCATAGATCTGGCTCTGATGTCACTGTTGGGGAACACAGTAATTTCAAAAAAATTCTTACGCACACGCAAGATCTATCATGGTGATGCATAGCAATGAGAGGGGAGAGTGTAGTCCACGTACCCTCGTAGACCGTAAGCGGAAGCGTTATGACAACGCGATTGATGTAGTTGTACGTCTTCATGATCTGACTGATCCTAGTACCGAAAGTACGGCAACTCCGTGATCTGCACACGTTCGGCTCGGTGACGTCCCACGAACTCTCGATCCAGCTGAGTGTTGAGGGAGAGCTTCGTCAGCACGACGGCGTGATGACAGTGATGATGAAGTTACCGGCGCAGGGCTTCGCCTAAGCACTACGACGATATGACCGAGGTGGATTATGGTGGAGGGGGGCACCGCACACGGCTAAGACAGTTGTCTGTTGTGTCTTCTAGGGTGCCCCTGCCCCCGTATATAAAGGAGCAAGGGGGGAGGCCGGCCGATCCTAGGGCGCGCCAAGGAGGGGAGGAATCCTCCTCCTAGTAGGAGTAGGATTCCTCCTTTCCTACTCCTACTAGGATGGGGAAGGAAGGAGTGGGAGAGAGGAAGGAAAGGGGGGGCACCCCCCTCCTAGTCAAATTCGGACTCAAGAGGGAGGGGGCGCGCGGCCTGTCCTGGCAGCCCCTCTCTCTCCACTAAGGCCCATCTAGGCCCACTAGTTCCCCCCCGGGGGGGGGGGTCCGGTAACCCTCCGGCACTCCGGTTTTCTCTGAAATCACCCGGAACACTTCCGGTGTCCGAATATAGCCGTCCAATATATCAATCTTTATGTCTCGACCATTTCGAGACTCCTGTCATGTCCGTGATCATATCCGGGACTCTAAATAACCTTCGGTACATCAAAACACATAAATTCATAATACCGATCGTCACCAAACGTTAAGCATGCGGACCCTACGGGTTCGAGAACTATGTAGACATGATCAAGACACGTCTCCGGTCAATTAATCAATAGCGGAACCTGGATGCTCATATTGGTTCCTACATATTCTACGAAGATCTTTATCGGCCAAACCTCATAACAACATACGTTGTTCCCTTTGTCATCGGTATGTTACTTGCCCGAGATTCGATCGTCGGTATCTCAATACCTAGTTCAATCTCGTTACCGTCAAGTCTCTTTACTCGTTATGTAATGCTACATCTCATAAATAACTCATTAGTTACATTGCTTGTAAGGCTTATAGTGATGTGCATTACTAAGAGGGCCCAGAGATACCTCTCTGATACACGGAGTGACAAATCCTAATCTTGATTTATGCCAACTCAACAAACACCACCAGAGACACCTGTAGAGCATCTTTATAGTCACCCAGTTACTTTGTGACTTTTGATAGCACACTAAGTGTTCCTCCGGTATTCAGGAGTTGCATAATCTCATAGCCATAGGAACATGTATAAGTTATGGAGAAAGCAATAGCAGTAAACTAAACGATTATCGTGCTAAGCTAACAGATGGGTCAAGTCAATCACATCATTCTCTAATGATGTGATTCCGTTTATCAAATGACAACTCTTTGTCCATGGCTGGGAACTTAACCATCTTTGATCAACGAGCTAGTCAAGTAGAGGCATACTAGTGATACTCTGTTTGTCTATGTATTCACACATGTATTAAGTTTCTGGTTAATACAATTCTAGCATGAATAATAAACATTTATGATGATATAAGGAAATATAAATAAAAACTTTATTATTGCCTCTAGGGCATATTTCCTTCAAGAAGGTCTCCAATCGTGTGTGTGGGTTGACTCCAACATGTTGAATATTAGACAATTGGATGGGTTTTGTGGTAAACGAACAACCCAGTGTGATTCATGGTTGTTCGGTGCTCTATTTTGGTGTTTCTTAGCACTCTAGTGGGAGAACCCATGTAGAGAGAAAGAGAGAGAGAGAGAGAGATAAAGAGAGACAAAGAGAGGATTTTTTACGGGGGTAAAAGGTGTTTATATTACTCAAGAGCAAATAATTTCCTACCTACACAAACTAGGGATATTATTAGGGCCAGAACGGAGCCAGACCACATTACGAGCCACCATGAATAACACGACACTCCCTTTCACCCATAAGTCTCTTCACCTCCGAGACCACCATGGCATATTGCGAGCGATCTTGGCCTGTACATTGGTCAACTGGACTGCCTGCAAACTGTCGCACTCCACAATGATTGGCAGCTCCGTCCACTGGAGTGCTAATGCTTTGCCCTTCATACATCCAGCTAGCTTGGCATGCAATGACTCCGGGCATGACCACAAGGAGCGACATGCGGAGAGAGAGATAGGATTGAACTGAGTGGGTTGCTCGCTCAGATGATATAGCTGGCCACCCAAAAGGGTTTTTTGTTTGACATTATTATATATCTTATGTATTTTTTGTTTAACATGCGTGTATGTTTATCAACGAATATGCTTAGCTGAGTATCAAAATATAACTATAACATAGTGTCTTGCCCCTCTTCTTCCTTTCTATGATGGCACATATGTTAGCTTTAGATGATTTTTATGTATGATCATTTGTCATGTTCATAGTTGGTGTATCAAGTAACAACATGCTCTTTGACGCAAAATGTCTGACTAGTGGAAGTTGTGTATGAGAAGATTTTTTATTTATTTTACGACCTTTTGGTCAATAAAAAATTAAGAAAACTAAATGTGATACTACCTCTATTGTACAATGTAAACATGTACACCTTTCTGGGTAATCTTGACTTTGGAGCCCTTTGAGGCAACATTCATGTGGCTCTCTTTTTTAGGTGTAACATAACTTTCATGAAAAATATATGTCTCGAAAGAACTATGGGCTAGAGAATGAATAACACAACCTTGCAAGACAACTAATTGAAATTGTCAAAATACATGTTTTTTTTCTTTCCACGACATGTAGCATAGGAGTTCTAACATCTCTTTCCACCATTATTAGATTATCTAACACACTCACACATAACGCACGAGTTCTTTCCCCAAGAACCTCACAACTACGTTTGTACGAAAAAGTGACTTGGCATATATACCCGTTTATGAGACAACATCTATTGCAATAGTGAAAGCCTTTGTAAAGGACATCATGACAATAACCAAAATTACGTGCTACTTGATAAAAAAGATACCTAGTTGTCCATATCATTCGTTGAGAATGTTGGGTAGAACATATACCTAAAGTGCACAACATGCAAAGAGATACCCTCGAATCGCATTCTATGGACACCAAGCACTCCAAGCATCCGTGTCACCTTCAGAGCCAAACATTGTACTGTCTGCGCTCGTTAGGTTTTCTGACATAATTCTGTATGTTACCTCCACTTGTAATGTCTGTTATTAATGAACTGATACTGATGTAATACATGGATCCATGTCCTAGCCATTATGCTTAATTGTTGGAGCCAAATTACATCCGTAGCTTACACCGCTGGTATAAGATTTTCGTATTTTTGTTACAATTATTACACGTTATAATCTCCCTGCCATAATAGAAAAGAATAAGCATCCGTGAAACTAGACAAAATTGAAGAACCTCCTTTTGAGAGCAACTTCAACAAACCCTACTAGTTTTATTGGGAACAAACCTTGATTATAGCAAGTACTAGTAATACAAAACAAATATCATCATCATTAAATAAAGCTGAACTCACTAACAAGTGGGCCACAAGTAACATGAGTCCTAGTCACCTTAACCTCGAAGTATTTTCTTGACGCGGCCACCGTTTCCCGGAAGACACAAGAAGGAAAACCACACGTTTCCCCGCCGTCCCCACCCGGCAGCGACTCAAACCACGGCGCGGGTATGGTCGGCACGGGTAGGCAAGCCCGCCCGTCGTCCCCTCCCGTCGGGATCTCGCCCAGCCCCACCCCCACCCCCACCCCCACCCCCGTCCACGAACCAACGGAGGCGGCGAGGCATCTCCACCGCCGGCGAGAAATCCAGCTAGGGTTTCCGGCGAGCGAGCCGATGGGGCGCGCGCCGTCGCCGAAGGACGCCGCGGGCGGGGAGCCGGAGGCGTGGTACGGCAGCATCCAGTACCTCGTCAACATCTCGGCGGTGGGGGCCGCCTCCTGCGTGCTCCTCTTCCTCCTCGTCAAGCTCCGCTTCGACCACCGCCGCATCCCGGGGCCCTCCGCGCTCGCCGCCAAGCTGCTCGCCGTCTACCACGCCACGGCCCCGCAGATCGCGCTCCACTGCGGCGCCGACGCCGCCCAGTTCCTCCTCTTCGAGCGCGCCTCCTTCCTCGTCCTCGCCGCCGTCTCCGCCGCCGCCTTCGCCGCGGCCCTCCCGCTCAACCTGCTCGCCGGGGACGCCGCCATCGCCGACCAGTTCGCCGCCACCACCATCTCCCACATCCCCAGGGCCTCCCCGCTGCTCTGGCTCCACCTCCTCCTCACCGCCGCCGTCGTCGCCATCGCGCACCTCGGCATCTCCCGCATGGAGGACGCCCTCCGCATCACCCGCTTCCGCGACGGCAACGGCAACCCCAGCGACCCCAACTCCAGCTCCGTCGCCGTCTTCACCATCATGATCCAGGGCATCCCCAGGGCGCTCGCCGCCGACAAGGCCCCCCTCAAGGAGTACTTCGAGCACAAGTACCCCGGCAAGGTGTACTGCGTCATTGTGCCCTTCGACCTCTGCACGCTGGAGTACCTCGCCGACGAGTGGGGGAAGGTCCGGAACAAGATCTCCTGGCTGGAGGCGAAGATGGACGCCCGCAGCCTGTTTGACGAGTTTGTGCAGGACGAATCGGGGCAATTAGAAGCGCACTGGCTTGTCAGGAGATGCAAAGAGCTGTGGGCAATGGCCGCGCAGAGGTTCGGGTTTACTGATGATGAGAGGCTAAGGAAGCTGCAGACAAGGAAACTCGTGATTGGGAGCAGGCTGTCGGATTACAAGGAAGGGCGTGCGCGTGGTGCTGGCATAGCTTTTGTTGTGTTCAAGGATGTGTACACGGCAAACAAGGCTGTGAGAGATTTCCGGATGGAAAGGAAGAAGACACCCATTGGCAGGTTCTTCCCAGTGATGGAGCTACAGCTTGAGAGGAGCCGATGGAGAGTGGAGAGGGCGCCACCAGCATCAGATATCTACTGGAATCACCTTGGGATGAACAAGACCTCACTAGCCTTGCGGCGGATAGCGGTTAACACCTGCCTCATTGTAATGCTCCTGTTCTTCAGTTCACCATTGTCAATACTCAGTGGAATGCAAAACGCAGCACGGATCATCAATGTGGAGGCTATGGATAGTGCCAAATCATGGATTGTTTGGCTTCAAGGCTCAAGCTGGTTCTGGACAATAATCTTTCAGTTTCTACCCAATGTCCTCATCTTCGTGAGCATGTATATTATCATCCCATCAGTACTGTCATACTTCTCCAAGTTTGAGTTCCATCTGACAGTGTCGGGGGAGCAGAGAGCTGCATTGCTGAAGATGGTTTGCTTCTTCCTTGTTAATCTCATCTTGTTGCGTGCGCTGGTGGAATCGTCGCTTGAAAGTTGGATTCTTAGCATGGGACGGTGCTACTTAGATAGTGCTGATTGCAAGCAGATTGAACATTACCTGAGCCCATCATTCTTGTCGAGATCTTCACTTTCTTCCCTGGCGTTCTTAATCACATGCACCTTTCTGGGAATATCTTTTGATCTGCTGGCTCCAATCCCTTGGATAAAGCATATACTGAAGAAATTCAGAAAGAATGATATGGTCCAGTTGGTCCCTGAAGAAAATGAGGAATACAGATCTATGAACAATGACGAAGAAACAAATGGTCTGGTATCGCCTCTAATGTCTGAGAGAGAAGACAGTGACATTCTGAATGGTTTCGAGGGGCATGATCTTTCCATGTACCCAATAAACCGGAGCTTCCACATGCCAAAGCAGAAATTCGACTTTGCACAATACTATGCATTTGACATCACAATATTCGCGCTCACGATGATCTACTCACTGTTTGCTCCGCTTGTGGTTCCTGTCGGTGCAGTATACTTTGGCTACCGTTACCTTGTGGACAAGTACAATTTCCTGTTCGTGTACAGAGTCAGAGGATTTCCTGCAGGCAATGATGGGAAGCTGATGGATAGGGTGCTGTGCATCATGCAATTCTGTGTCATCTTCTTTCTTGCTGCTATGTTGCTCTTCTTCGCAGTCCAGGGTGATTCCATGAAGCTACAGGCTATATGTACTCTTGGGCTGTTAGTGTTCTATAAGTTGCTGCCGTCTGGAAGTGATCGCTTCCAGCCGTCCTTGTTAGAAGGGATGCAGACAGTTAATAGCTTTGTAGATGGTCCAACGGATTATGAAGTTTTTTCACAACCTGACCTGGATTGGAATCTGTATCAATCCTGAAGAAAACTCAAGGTCAATACACACTTGTTTCATTTCAAAGTCATCTACTATCACCAGAGCTTCACATTGTACTTCTCTTGTTCTTTTGTATAGTTGATGTAGATTAACTCCTTTTTTTTCTACTAGCTGGACCTGTTCGTTTTGGAAATGACAAACACTTTTAGATCATGTAGGCATGAGCTGTCTATCTAAATTCCATGAAAAAAACACCAGGCATTATCATACATAATCAGTTCATCATCTTGAGATTCTTTTTCTTGTAATTGCCTCCATCTAACGCAAAAAAGCCCCACCCGCAGCAGATATATCAGTGGATGCCACATTTATTCTTTCCATCTTTTCTGTGTTAGTGTTCCAACTGTAAGAGAATTATTGTTATGTTTGGGATTTAAGAGATTTCTAACACTGGAATCTACCTTATGCACTGTGAATTGTGACAGTCAAACTATACTGTGAACTTCTGAAGTTTTGATGTAGCTTCACAAACATTAGTAGTTTGGTACCTGACGGGCAACAAGTGTACTGATATATCATCGTTTTTTTTATATCCCTGTTCCTCATTCATATGTTAGGCCATTAGTTTAAATTGCGTGTTTGTATCTTTATTAACCAGTGTTCATATATTTGTTAATTTGCTGTGTTTGTATCTTTATTAACCAGTGTTCATATATTTGTTAATTTGCTGTGTTTGTATCTTTATTAACCAGTGTTCATATATTTGTTAATTTGCTGTGTTTGTATCTTTATTAACCAGTGTTCATATATTTGTTAATTTGCTTTGTTTGTATCTGTAATTCTGTATTAACCATTGTGTTTATATCGATTGCTTCCAGCCATCCTTGTTCATAGAGACGCAGACAGTTAAATAGCTTTGTAGACAGTCCAACAGATTATGGAGTTTTTTCACAACCTGACCTGGATTGGAATCTGTATCAATCCTGAAGGAAAAACTCAAGGTCATTTTAAAGTCGCCTAGTATCACTGGAGCTTCACATTGTACAGCTCTCATTCTTTTGTACTGTTATGTATTAACTCTTTTTTTTTTCTAGCTGGAACTGTTTGTTTTTCAAATGACAAACACTTCATTTACATCATGTAGGCATGAGCTGTCTATCTTAAATTCGATGCCAAGGCATCAGGCATTATCCTACATGATCAACTCATCATCTTGAGATTTTTTTCTTGGAATTGCCTGCATCTAGTTCAAAAAGCCCCAACCATAGCAGATATATCAGTGCATGCTGCGTTAGGATCTTCTATAAGAGTATTATTGTTATGTTTGGGATTTAAGTGATTTTTAACACTGGGAGCTACCTTATGTACTGTGAGAATTGCGAAGTCAAACTACACCGTAATTTCTGAAGTTTTTATACATCTTCACAAACATTGGTAGTTTAGTACCATGATGTGCCACAAGTGTACTGATATACCATTGGTTTTTCTGACATCCCTGTTCCAGGTTTATCCCCTTCTCACCTTTTCTCATTCGAATGTTAGGCCATTAATTAATTTGCTGTGTTTGTATCTTTATTAACCAGTCTTCATATATTTGTTAATTTGCTGTGTTTGTATCTTTATTAACCATTGTTCGTATATTGATTGCTTCCAGCCATCCTTGTTAATAGAGAGACAGAGAGCTAAATAGCTTTGTAGACGGTCCAACGGATTATGAAGTTTTTTCGTAGCCTGTCCTGGATCTGTATCAATCCTGAAGAACTCGAGGTCAATACACACTTGTTTCATGACATAGACATCTAGTATCACCGGAGCTTCGCATTGTACGACTCTCAGTTGTTTCTGTACAGTAATCTAGGATAACTCCTTTTTTTTTTTCTAGCTGGAACTGTTGTGTTGGAACTTTGAAATGACATACACTTCAATTTGGACCATGAAAGCATGAGCTGCCATTCGGAAATTCCATGAGAGTATATCTGGTGTTATCCTATTCCTACATGATTAGCTCACCATCTTAAGAGATTTTTTCCTTTAATTGCGCCCATCTGACGCGAAGGCACAACCGCATCAGATGTATCAGTGCATGCTACATTTATTCTTTCCATCTCTTCTGTGTTAGAATGTCCCAACCATAAGAGAATTATTGTTCTGTTTAGGATTTAAGAAATTTTTAATGCTGAGAGCTATCTTATGCACTGTGAGTTGTGACAGTCTAACTATGCGGTAACTCCTGAAGTTTTGATGTAGCTTGGCAAACATCAGTACCATGAGCATATATGTCATAATTATACCTTGACATCCTGGTTCCAGGTTTCTCTTCCCTTTTCATCTTTTCTCATATGTATCTTTGGCCATTTGACAGTTTACTGTTCCTGTACCTTTCTTTACCAGTGTTCTTGTATTGATGCTTTTGTCTGCATGTAATCAGAGACAATATGGTTCTGGTCTTATCTGACTTTTTTGGTTATATGATCAAGGTTCAATAAAGCGCTAGCGTGTAAGTGTCTAGGCGGCCATATAGTTTTGACTTGATAGGCATGTATTTAGGCTAAGAGCATTCAAACGAGTACATTATTGGCCTGTCAGTACCATATGACATGGTTTCTCGGTGGACTGGACAAATTCTTACATATACCGCCTAGGCTTCAGCTTATGTCCTACGCGAGGTATTTGGCTGTCGCCTAGCGAATAAGTGCCGCTTAGGCACCGCTATTTCCATCAGAGGTTATGATTGAGCTATGAGAGAGTCTGATGTTGTGCACCTTGACCAGATTTAGTTGATCATGCACCTTTTTTCCTTTTCTTTTTCTTGTATTCCGCTCTTGCTGTTGGTGGCTGAAAATAGCTGTTCTCTTGCCAATAGTAGTTGCAAGGCTGAACCATTGGTCGTGTTGTTTTTTCATCTAAATGTAAAATCCACTCGGCGAATCTTACATTCTAGGGGGCTATGTGAGCACATATGAAACTTGTACAAACTCGGTAGGTTGTTCGAAAATATTGTTTTCCACTCATCCAAGAAATCTGAAAAAGATACCCGCATGCAAGTGACTCACGTTCAGTTTAAGATTTCAAGTTCCGTGGAGATGACAACTTGTTTGCGAATTGTCAAAAAATAATAAACCCAGGCACTTTCTGTGCATAGAGGCTGCGTGCGTCCTGGCTCATTTTAAACGGCACTCATTTTAAACTTTTTTTTTCTGCGGGGGTTTGTTGAATGCTCATAATTTTTTGTTGCATAGGCATTCTGAATGTTACAACAATTTTGGGTGGTTTTTGGTGGATTACGGTGACAAATATCTGCGATGATGTTGCATACACAAAACAAGAAAGTGTTGTGCTGCACATTTTTCTGGATTTATTTCGGACTTCCCGGTGATGTTTGTTCAATGGGAGATGTTCTTGTTGGTGTCTGCAATGGCTTTGTCAATCTTAAGATATTGTGTTGGCTCAATATTCGAAAGTGCTCATAAAGATGAGTGTGAGTGCGTGCATTCGTAGGGATGCATGTATATTGGTATCTGCTTATGTTTAAAAACAAGGAAAAAAATATATTGCGTGCGGTTGTTTTGTGCCACGGAGGTACCAAGCTCATCATTTTAGTTAAGATCGGACGGCCGACCGAGGTGAAAATACCACCCCAACCGACTGAGCCAACAGGAAAAAATAAAAGCCACCAAGATACTACTAGTAATACCTTCTGGTTTATTAGTCTCTTTGTATTTTGTGTCAAATTTTGACTAAAAATAAAACATAACAAAATGTTAATGCATGTTATAGAAATTTATGTCGTTACATTTGTATTTGAACATAGTTTTAAATGATATTATTTTTGTTGACATATATTAATATTTTGTTAGTTAAATTTATGATCAAAATTTCACACAAATACGATGAAGACTAATAAATCAGGAGGGTCCCATCACCTCAAAACGCCACTTAACCTCGGGCGCGGGCTCACGCAGGAACCCCGAAACCCCCCCACTCCTCTCGTCGTCCCTTCTCTTCCTCTCCCCCTCCCCCAAAATCCCTCGCATTCTTCTTCTTCCCACGGCGACGCCGCACAGCAAACGAGCGAGCGAGGCCTTCTACTGGCCACCGGACCGGCGTGGCGGTGGATTGCCTCCTCCCTCCCTTCCTTCCTCTGCTGGTACGCAACCCTGGCTCCATCGTTTCTCGCCGTGGATTATTCTCGAGTCAACCATTTTCCTGGCCCTTTGGAGCGCGGTGACCCATCCACCATCCCACCGTCATCCTCCACCAGCAACACGAGTTTCAACCAGCATCCATCAGGCGGATCATTCGTTTAATTTCTGCCGCCGGGGTTTCCGTATCGCTCATTGGGGTTCTCTCTGTCTCTTTCTCTTTGGGGTTTTCCGATGTGAAGCTGCAGATGCAATTCATTCATTCATACTCCCTTCGTTTCAAAATAGATGACTCAACTTTGTATTAACTTTAATACAAAGTTAGTATAAAGTTGGGTCATCTATTTTAGAACGGAGGGAGTACCCTGGATATGCTTTTGTTTGCTTTTCTCTCATCATTTTACAATTTTGCTTAAGAGTTTCTCGTTTTCCTAATTAATTATTAGTACTCCCTCCGTTCATAAGTACTACAAGAAGTTCTAACCTTTTCTTTTCTGAATCGGGTGTATACAGACACACGCTTTAGTGTGTTTGACTGTTTGTTCACTTGTTTCAGCCCGGATGTAGTCTATATTGAAATATCCAAAACATCTTATATTTGTGAATGGAGGGAGTATATGATGATGATGTAGTTGAAGTGCACGTAAATGAAAGGTGGGCAGTTTAACCATGTTTGTCCCAAATAGGCACTGCTCCCCCATTTCTAAATATAAGCTTTTTTAAAGATTTCAATATGGACTACATACGGATGTATATAGACATAGGGTGTGTCTAGGGCACATCTAGATGTGCTCTAGTTATTGCACATCTAAGTGAGTGAATCAAGCATAAAGAGAAAAAGAAAAAAGAGAAAGAAAATATTCACACGAGTCTCAATGTAAGATTAATGACATATGACTTAGA